GAGTTAAGAGCATGGCGAAAGCTTATTGAATTGAAAAATGAAATTCTTTTACTATTCATTCTCATCAGTCCCTTCTTATGTTCTTCTACAAACATTCAAGCTCTTTCTCTTTTGTTCTTATTATTGTTTCCCTAAGTTTAACAGTGGCAGCATTTTGGCTAAAAATCAGTGAAGCAGATGCTCAATAATGGGTTCTGGTTAATGTTAATGATTGGTCCATTAATATATTGTGTTTGGGACTTGCAATACTGATAAGGAAATAAAGAAAAAGTCAAAAGTGTAAGGTCTAGAAGAAAGATAGAATAAAATAAAAGCAGGCAATAGGCAGTTTTGGCATTTAAGCTGAAGAAAGCCTCAAGTTAGCAGCCACCAACCATGCTTGAATTGGATTTAGTAAGGTCACATGCTAGTGTTACATAGCATTCTAAATTATTAGTTATCATTTATTAATCTTTTATAGGCTTGCTTTTGCTACTGTTTGTGAAGCAAATTTGTTATTTCAAAGCTATCTTTTTCATACTTTAAACTATAGGCTATAGGTTCCTAAGATTTTGTCCCCAAAACCTATAAGTTTGCCTAACCCTCAAGGGGTAGGCTCCAGCCAAAGAAACCCCAAAGGGTTGGAAGACGATGACAAGATGAAACATGTGGTCTTCTTAGAAGCTATAGATATCCTTGCTTTTTCTCTTCTAGTTTATTTTTTCCTTTTATAAAAAGTTTGATGGCAATTGGGCTTGAACCAAACCCATGACTTCATATGGGCAAATGACCCCAATATGTCACCAACCCCCTTGTAGCCATTGGCAAACTCCAATTCAGCAGCACCCTAAACCATTCCACTGTACCCCCACCAGAGGCCACTCCCTGTCCCTTTCAGTCCTCTGAAGAGCCAGCCCATAACTCATTTAGAGGGAGTGGGAACACCTCTGGGTGGGGACAGGACCAAAGTATCCCCATGCTAAGGGAAAAAAGTGTCGTTAAAATATCACAGGAAATCTAAAACTCAAAGCCTCATTGGCTACATGGAATTGATGTGGCAGATAGTTTAGCCTCTGCTAATTATCTTATCCTTTCGACCTGTCATATCCAAAAGTTTGCTGTTTTATCACTAAAAGAGTCACTTCCTATATATGCACAATTAAATATCTGTTCCACACACCTTCTTTACAGTACTACGCTTAGCTTTTCTTTGGTCAGCCCGTAGCAGAGTTTATTTAAGGGTCATAAAGAACCCAGGTCGAAGTGGTTGAGTAGCTCTAGTTTCAAAGTTGGTAATGGCTCTACAGACTGCTGCTTTGGTTCCAGCTGCTTTCTCTGTTCCCAAAGAGGTTGTTTTTTTTTTTTTTT